CAATATGTTTTTTTAAATGTAATTTACTAGTATTAATTTAAAATTACTTCTTCTTGCAATTCTTGTATTGATAAACAACTTTATCTTTATCCAATACTTCATTTTAATGTTTTAATGTAATCATTTTAATGTTTTAATGTAATATATTTAGTATTGGTACCTGATTCTGTTATATTATCATCTAATGAAAAACTTGAAGTAGAATTATTCAAATATGTTAATGTTAAATCTTTCATTAAAAAAATACAAGTTGGATTATAAAGATAATTATAAATACATAAAAAACAAGTATATTCTTTTATTTAAAAAAAAATGTAATAATATAATATATAACACTATTGAATTGTAGCATAAAATTTTAAAAATAATTTATTATTAGCTACAATATTCTTTCTATATAAATGATATCAAGAGAAAACTAAATATTGGTCTTTTAAATTTATTATTTATTTCTTACTAATAAATAATAAAAGTCCAATATCTTTTTTTCCTTAAGTCACTCATCTTAATTTCATAATAGAAATTACATAACCAGTACAAGCCAATATGATGAATGATATATGACTTAATAAAGTCAATTATATAATTTTTTATGTAATAATTAGAAAAACTTATTCAGAATATTATTGTGCAGCCATGACTGCACTAAAAATTTTCATATTTGTACAGTTTACGTCACCACTAATTTATCATCCTTTTTTTTTAGCTCAAAATTTTGTCTCTAAAAAAAAAAAAGAACACAAAGAAAAGAAAATTTTAAATTTGATGACGTAAATTATACGAAAGTATAGTCATCAATAACTGTTTCACAATGATACCGTTATTGGATAGGGTTTAAAATATGCACGTGGGTATCAAACGGCGACAGGTGATTGGCTTAGATCAGCGGCACAATCTGCACCAATCACCTGTCTCCGTTTAATACCCACGTGCATATTTCTTAAACCCTATCCAATAGCTATAAATTATAGCATTCGATTTTTAATTTTTTTATAACCTTTTATATATCAGAACAAATCGTGTCGATTAGAAATAGCAAAATAAAATTACGATTCGATATATATTTGGTAAAAAAATAATTTTAATATAAAATTTCAAATTTTCGTTAGGTGGCTTAGTTATATAGATAGACAAATATGAGGTTAATAATTAGATAAAATATAGTAAAGAAAAATAGAATAAGATTATAGTTTAAAATAAATGATAAAGTGTAAAGTGTCTTGAATGCTCAGACCGATCTAAATTAGCCAATCTTAAATCTATTATAATACATACACTGGCACTGTTCGGGCAGAATAAAAAATGATGGTAGGCATTTGAGCACTAGTATTTTGCCTGGCATAGTGCCAATTGTGCCCGGCATGTTTACTTGCAGAACCCTACTTTTGACCATCACTATAAAATATATAATAATTTTCAATCAAATTTTTGTATTCGTAGTAAATGGAGTACAAAAATGATAAATTAGATAAATTAATTCGAGAATGTCTTCTTAATTCTATATCGCCATCACACATAATAAAATGGATTCCGTATGGAAATTTCACAGATAATCAAAAAGAAACCGAAGGTAGCTAGCTGTTCTATAATATATGTTACAACATATACAAAGTAGGATTTTGAACGACAAGAATTAAGAAAAGAAGAAGGGATTTATATTTTTATAAATCGTTTAAGGAGGTAAACATTATATAAAGAATGGCGCCATAATTATTATTACATGTAATAATTATTATTACAAAAAAGTAATAATAATTATTATATATATTATTATATAAATAATAATTATTACATATAATAATTATAATTATTACATGTAATAATAATTATAGCGCCATTCTTTAACATTATATAATTGAAAAATGTTGCCAGAAAATTTGCAAATGAATATGTCAAAGACGAAAGTTTGAATCAATTTCTAATATCGGTGATTAAGGAGTACTCCAAGCTAGAGTTGCAGGTGAAACTAATCTTCAATGGTGCACCAGTTTCCTGGTAAATTAATTGGTTTCATCTGCAACTCCACTCTAAGCTATAATAAAACTTATAAACCACTCCAGTTTTAAGTTGGCGTTTATAAGTTCGAGTAATCTATTAATCCAAAATATAATTTTTCTGAACATGTCGAAGGTTTTGGAATTTGAAGAATCATCATCAATAACATTTGTAATAAATTCTACAGTTTTTTTTTTTGAAGAATCACCATCAATAACGTTTGTAATAAATTCTACAGTTTTTTCTTTTGATAACCTTTTGAGTTTAACCAAAATATCATTCAACGTTGGACGTTGATTCGGTTCAAAGGACCAGCATTTTTTGAAGAGATCAGCGTAATCTGAGGGTGTACCGGCAATAGTTTTTTCTCTTTCATTATTCGAAACTTTAATAGCGATATTATATCTATTAAGTCCATTAAATGGAGGAATTCCGCTCGTAAGTTCCCAAAGCAATACACCTAAACTATAGATGTCAGATTTTTTACCATGGTTAATTTTCTCTTGCTGGAGAAAACATCGTGGTTCAATATACGCGATTATGCCTTTCACACTAGAACCATCAGGGCTTGAAGAAATGGAGCCATCTAATTGTTTTGATAAGCCAAAATCTGTAATCAAAGCCCTGTTATTATGTATCAAAATATTCATAGAATGCTAGAGAATTTGTGTAAAAAGGTTATGCATAAATTAAAAGATTTTATGTAAAAAGGTTATGCATAAATTAAAAGATCGTGCATAGAAAAAAATACAGTAAACCAACCAGATCTCTATGAATTATATTTTTGTCATGTAAGTAGATTAATCCAAGCGTAATGTCTATTGCAATTCGGATGAGTTTAGTCCATAATATTTTGTAAATGCCTTCCTCTTGTTTTCTTTTCAAATGTTCACGCAGGTTACCACTATCGGCATACTGCAGTATTAGCATAAAGATGTTTGTTCTTTCATCTCTCGAAACGCCATAAAATTTTATGATGTTGGGATGATCAAGTATACACAGAAGTTTAAGCTGCAGTACATGCATATATTGATAAATAAATAAGAGCATTAAGAAATAATACAATGATAGATATGAATAATACATTACCTCTTTCATAATTTTTTTGCATTTTTCATCAGTGAAATTCAAATTAGTATATAAGTTTTTTATTGCGTATATTTTCCCTTTGAAAGTTGTTGAATACACGATAGAATATCCCCCATGTCCAATTTTATTGAGATCGCTAAATTGTGAATAGTCAAAATGTTTTATATTGCAATTTTGCAAGTATTCAACTACTGATATTTTAAAGTAGATAAGCATTTTGCATAAACCTGAAACTATATAAATATTTTCTTGTTATCTAGCATGATTTGACGGATACATGGGTATCGGCAGGATAATAGTAAAAGCACGTGGTCGAAGGCCTCGTGCGTTGCAATTATACTGTGTATATCATGCCAGATAATTTAAAATTATCGTATCGCACTGATTAAAATGCCAGGGTCTAAAACAAATAGCTAACAAATTTAATAACTTATATTATATACGTCTATTATAGTAGTGAATATTTTCAACTACATTTACACTTTCCATTTTAAAAGAGCGGTATGATAATTGTTGGTGTGCAATACTTACATGACATGGATTTTGTTTATAAATCAAGAGCTTCTAAACAACGGTATTCAAATGGTTGTTTTGGCAATTATTTATAAATGCGAATGGAAAGATTGTAAATTAACGGTCACTTAAAGTCGATGAAAATTTATAATTCAGCAATTTATCAATGAGGTATAATTTTTATCAACAATTTATAAAGCTAACTAGAATTAAAATCGGGAATAAAAAAAATAGTAATACTGTATAATGAAAATTAAAAATTTTAAATTTTTACTTAAACTTAAATTGATCTATTGAGAACCGTGATGATTTTATTTTTGCCGAAAAAACATGGCCTTACAATTGGAATTCACCTCTTAAAAGAATTCAAGGGACGATTCATTTATAGAAGTCTGAATACAAGAATAAAGCATATACGAGGTCTATATATGTGATTCGGGAAAAATAATGTACCGAGGTTTAAATTAAATTGGTATTCTAATTTATCTAATAGCTACCTCATTAAACTTTTACATTAGAGCACCATTCAAATACGAGATATGTTTCGTTTACATTAACATTAGTAAACATAAAAAATAATTATAATTAATAATAAATAAATAAAAATAATTGTCCGAAGGACATTACTGTAGACCTTGATGTCTGTGTATCCGCAAATTACGGCTTTTGATTGGCTAGATCAGGTGTAACATAAAAAAATCAAAACATTGGTTCTTCGGACCTTGAATGGGTTTCCATTTTCCTAGTTATAGTAAATAGCTGCCGCAACAAATTTGGACCGGCAGATCCTTGATTTTGATTGGCTAAGAGCGACAATAAAAAGATTAGGCCAGAATTACTCATAATTTTACTAATGAAATCATAGCTGCCCATTAAATGAAAATTGTTCCTGGGCAAATTTTACCATAATGTGGGCTTATTTTTTTAAGAATTTCTATTTTTGTAATAAAAAAATTAAAAAGATAATTCCGGCCGGAAATTAGTAACCAATTTTGTAATGTGGACCAAAATTTCGAAGATCCTCGGCCGTTAGCCAATCAAAATCGAGGATCTGCCGGTCCAAATTTGTTGCGGCAGCTATGGTTAATGTTATTGACGACTGTATTAAAAATTCTCATATTGTACAGTTTACATCATCACTAATCTTTATTGCTTAAATTTTTAATCTTAAAAAAAACAACACAAAGAAAGGAAAAGGTTAAAACTGATGATGCAAACTATACGAAGTGAAAAAATAGCATAATCGTAATAACTGCTTCACAATAATATTGGATAGGATTAAAAATATGCACGTGTATCAAACGGCGACAGGTGATTGGCTTAGATCATGTCGCGGTACGATCTGCACATAATTTTTAAACCTTTAAAATATTCCACATAAAACATCGATTTTCTCTGCAGATTTAAATGCACAAACCAAAAGTAAGGCCAAAAGCTTCTAGCACATTATTATGCTTAAATTGTTTGAGCTAAAAAAGAAAACTGTGATTAGTTTTTAATAACGCTTTTCAATGCGTACGTATGTACACACTTACCTCGTTTAATAACCTCGCAGCGATACTATCATCACATCTATAATCTTCTAATAAACATAAATTTACTAGCACATTGTTCCATAATCTTTTCTTTGTTTCATCAGGTCTGTCAGTTTTGTTTGTTGGTTGTCTGAACTCGCTATATCTCATCAAGTGGATTTTTTTTTCACCGATTAATCGTGTTGTATAATGATATAACGAATGTTTGTTCATGTTTACGTCTTGTTTTCTGTGAATAGTTAAGTCCTCATAATTTTTTTTATCATCAACATTTTTTTCATCGATATTTTTTTTATCATCAATAATTATTTTATTATCAATAATTTTTTTATCATCAGTAATTTTTTTATTTTTATTAATTTTTTTATCACCAATAATTTTTTCATCATCAATAATTTTTTCATTAATACTATTTTTATCATCAATAATTTTTTTATCATTGATAATGTTTTTATCATCAATAATATTTGTTATGAATTTTGAAGAATTTTCTTTTGATAATTTCTCAAGTTCAAGCAAAATTTCGTTCAACGACGGCCGTTGATCCGGTTCAGACGACCAACATTTTTTGAAGAGATTGGCGTAATCAGAGGGCGTACCGGTAATTGGTGTTTCTCTTTCATTCTTTGAAATTTTAATAATTATAGCTGCATCTTTTAATCCATTAAATGGAGGAACACCACTTGTTAGTTCCCAAAATAAAACGCCCAAACTATATATGTCGGATTTTTTATCACGTCTAACTATATTTTCATACTGAATAAAACATTGTGGTTCAATATATGCTGATATGCCTTTCACACCAGAGCTTGAAGTAGATGCAGATCCATCTAATTGTTTTGATAAACCAAAATCTGTAATCATGGCCCTGTCATCGTGTATCAATACATTACAAGAATGCTAGAGGTTTTATGTTAAAAATTTAAAATGATTAAAGTTTTACAGAAATTAGAAGTCAAAATATAAAAGAAATTAACTAACTAGATCTCTATGAATTATATTTTTGGTATGTAAGTGGTCTAATCCAAATGCAATTTCTATTGCAATCCGGATGAGTTTAGGCCATAATATTTTATAGATGCCCTCTTTTTGTTTTCCTCTTAAATGTTCCCGCAGGTTACCGCAATTAGCATATTGTAGTATTAGCATAAAGTTTTCTGTTTTCTCATCTAGTGTTCAAAAATGGATTAGGAAATGATATTATTCAAGTGTGCTGTATAAATCTTTAAATTTATACCTCTTGAAATGCCATAGAATTTTATGATGTTGGGATGATCAACTTTATAATAAATTTCAAGCTACACATAGTATATGTTAATAAGTAAACAGGAATATTAAGATATCAAATGAAAAATATGAATAATACACATTACTTCACTTTTAACATTTTTGAATATTTTATCATCAAAACTCAGATTATTTTTTAGACTTTTTATTGCGTATATTTGCCCTTCGAAGATGGCTGAATATACAACAGAATATCCTCCTCTCCCAATGACTTTGCAGTCACTAAACTGTGAATAATCGAAATGTTTTACATCGCAACTTGTTTCTAATTCTTTCGTATATTCAATAACTAATATTTAAAATTGTAATAAGCGCTTAGCATATTAAACAATATAAATAATTTATAGTTATCGTATCGCATTGATTAAAATGCTCGGATCGAAAAAATTTTATAATATTGCACAGAATAATAACATCTTATGATAAAGAACAATTCATGTACATGCATACTTTTTATTTTAAAAAGCTGCTTACAATTACAGCTATTTTAATTATTCCTTGAGCAACCGAAAAATTATTGATAACCAAATCGATTAGTTTCTTAAGTCGGTCGATGTTGGTAAATTATCAATCCTGAGTCTGTAATTTATTGAATCGAGTATCGGAAATTTTTTAGTTATCTCAGGAATTATGAAAATAGCTGTAGTAGAGGAGTCTTTTGGTCGATGCTGTACGATAATTTGTGGTGGTAATAACTTACATGTACTCATTGACATTATTCGGTTTATGAATCAAGAATTCCTTTCAGGAATAATAAAAGAGGAGTCTTTTAGTTGACGCTGTGCGATTATTTGTAGTAGAAATTAAATTACGGATGCACCAATTTTCATCAGTCACCAGTCCCAATAAACATTGTGATGCTGGTGAAACAGATGATACTGGTAAAACCGGTGATATTGGTGAAACTGGTGTCACGGTGATAAACAGTATGCAGTGAACATGTGTAAAGATAAGGGTAAAAGCGATCAATCGATCAGTGTCTTGTACACGTGATGATCGATCGGAATTATGGACGGTCGGTAGATATTTGAGATGCCGAAGCAAGATAATTAATATATCATGGATGAATCAATTGCGTATTGATAAGTGATACGAAATAGTTTATTATTAAGTTAGCATGAACAATCGAATAAAGTATGTAATCAATTTAAGAGACAATGGTCGTATGACCAATATATGATGTAATGACCAGAGTCAATTAAGGGTATAAGTAGCGAAGCGATAATAATAATAAAGATCTAGTTAGTCAATTGAATAATAAAATCCGTGAACAACAGAAAACAAACTTGTTACTTTCCTTAAGTGAATTAAATAAAATACATTAACATCCGAAAAGTGCTTCGCCACCTGAGTTAGGTTATTTTGTTGACGAAAGTCACTAATTAACCCGCGACACTGGTTAACTCGTTATACTAGAAACCATCGCCTTTCTCTATTACTATATATACCAAACGCTGGTTATATAACAAACAAAACAAGTAAGAACTTTCGATTAGAGAAAGGTGATTTTATCTAGTTGTATCACTTGTATCACCAGTATCACCAATTTTACCAAATCACACCAGTTTCAACTGGTCAATTAATTAGTTTCATCCAACTCTAAACTGGACCACATACAACTTGCAGTTATGGTGTTATTCCACATTTTGATTTTTAGCATAGCATTAGCGTCATTATCAAATTTAATGACAATCGATTTGAATTTGATCCTTTCTTTATTAATGAGATATTTATTATGTTAAGGCCTGAATTGCTTTCTGGTATAATACAGTACTAAATTTCTGTAATCATGTAACAAAAGCTAAGCTGTTATGTAGAGTTGATTATTATCCAATTCTATAAGTTTTGAAAAGTAAGCATGCTACTTATAGTTTCTGGAGATATCAAATAATAATCATATATGTAACAAAGGTATTTGTCTAAATCAAATAAGTAGATAATGGCAGGGGAATTGTAGTATATAGTACAATTTGAACAAATCATATATAAGATTATTAGTTATACTGTTATGTGTTGTTTATTGATCTTAAGCCGAAATCAACATGTATCTTTTTTTGAATTCTACTGGTCATTGAATAGCTAGAATGGTAAAAATAAAATCAAAAAAATAAATAACCCTCTTATTCTTGACATCAAATTGTAAAAATATTAAAATATGGCTGACTCACTTTTTTAAAGAGCCAGGTCGTTCAAAATTGAATTGTTAGTTAATGTCAACTTTTTTGGTTTAGACACAAGGGCGTGAAAACAATCACATATATGTCAAAAAAGTTTTCGATACATTGAGATTGCTTTTAATTTCGAACCAAGAGGGCTGACATTAATTAATTTTAACATTGACAGCCTTAATAGCAATTAAATTTAAAAGTTTATAATATCTGAAGTACTACAATATATCAGGAACAGAGTGATATATACTGTATTGTTGAGAAATTTATATGAGTATCATTTTCGATAATGGCCTGAATTAATCTTAATTTAGATCAAAATTAAAAATTACATCCCTGTGCGTTATTTCGCAGTATCTAACTATACACAGATAATGAAGATATATAAACAAATTCAAGCACCAGCATCGTATATTAAAATAAAATTATTGAAAGATATTAAATCGATTTAAAAAACTATATAACTTAACTTTCAAAATTTGGGTTGCCTAAAAGTATAAATATTTTAGATATCATCTACTGATATTTACTGTATATCTAGTCATAAATTCTGAGAATACAGAGATTTTCTAAAAAAATTCTCCAGTTAATATATTTATAATGCATTATGATCTGAATTTTGCAGATTAACTCTTTTTTTCGAATCAATTGCAATCAAACCTCGTTATAAACATAAGCTTGGAAACAAAAATCTGGTGATTCTAAAAAGTAGTGACTATATAAAGGTAATTCGGAAGCTAGAAAAGAGGTATATTTAGGCATTTCAGTTTAACCAATATAGTCTATAATGTATTATACTTGGTAAACATAATAGTCATTTCAAAGATTTACAATACTAGTCTATTTATTTTTAACTTATTTATTTTTCTAGACAGGCAAATACTGCAGTAAAAAGATTAGTGACTTGAGGCAATGGAAGCATGAGCTTGCAATCTTTATGAGAAGTTAAATATAGTGTTACGCTAAGATAATTAAAGCATAATGTTTTATCTATTATTGATTTAGAATTATGATTAAATTCGGTTGGAATTAATTAACTGTTATTATACACGATTAAAAAAATATTATATGGTTTTTATTGACTCTTAAAATAAATGGTTCTTATTATTTTCATTTGTTTTTCGAGATTTTTATAATTATTTTTTAAATTTGTGATTAGTATTTTTTTTTTTTTTTAAATAAGATATTAGATTTTGTTTGTATCGAGATGATGCTTTAAATATTAAGTTAGTAATGCTTTTATTAATGCCAGTTTGTTTTTGTTTTATTAATAAAAAATATTTATAAATTATATATATTCATATAAAATATTTGTCTTGTGAATAATTTCTATAAACAAATGATATTTTTGCAACATCACGAGATGATCTACGAAAATTAGCCAATTTGCAGTTTTTGGTCCGATTTGGAACACTACGTAACCTGGCGGATCTTTCATGCCAACTATCACAAATACGTGTTTATAAGAAATCCATGCAAATAATTCGTTAATAATATGAATTGTTAAAAAAATTATCATAATCATTATAGTATTAACTTAAAACCAATATGGTGTTGTCTGCAATAATCTATAGCCTTTTGATGTTTGTTTTTGGCAGCGTCAATCAGCCATTTCTCCCCTTCAATTCTTTCATTGTCACTTCCATTCAATATCAAGGTGATTCCCAAATTATACATTGCACTACAATTATTTTTCTCTGCAGCTAATCTAAAATAATGCATAGCCCTCCCCTTATCTTGGAGGACACCTTGTCCCAAATAAAGACCAAAACAATATCTTAGCTGTGCTTCTGAATAGCCAGAATCTGCAGATTTTTTATAGAGTATCATTGCAGTTTTTAAATATGTTTCACCTTCTTCGGCAAACTCTTCTATAGCTTCTTCGTAAAATCCCCTTCTAAAAAGGTTAGAAGCTGTTAAAATGTCATATTGCAGATAAAATCCAATCCAATAAAGTGCAATATGGTCTCCTCTCCTAGCATAATTTATAAAGACCCTCCATGCTTCAAGCAAATCACCATTCTCTAATTTATGTTGTTCAATTGCTTCTTCTAACGTCAGTCGAGGTTGCTGTTCAAAAAGCCAATCATCATCCTCTCCCTGGCGTTCTGTACTGTCAGCGAGGTAATCACCAAATGAATTCCAAGAATGTGTTTGAGAATTATCAACATAACTAGTCATAGATTTTCCTCTGTCAGTGTAAATTACGCACCATTTGAGGACAGTATCTTTAACAGCTTGTTCTTTTTCATCATCAATTTCATCAATTTTGCCATCAAAACCCTCATCATCAAATTCATCTTTATCATGTTTTGAATCAAACTCTATTTTGTCTTTTGTTATATCTATTATAATTCTAGCTTTCGCCCAAGCTTTAGGTTTAATATTATAAAAAACTGAATTGTCTTTGGATACAATTGATGTTATCAAAACACAATCTGAAGTAAGATTTTTACATTTTAAAAGTATGTCGGATAAATTATTTCCATTGACGGTGAGAACTCCATAAAGGGCTCTAACATTTCTGTTTTTATTGCTACAAAATCATCTAGGATCAGCAAGCACGAACCACAGGAGTTTTATATTTTCTTTGTTTAGCCTTTAATAGATCAATTTTACAGAATTGATAAATAATAGATAAATAAATAAATAGGATGCTTTAATTCTAAACATATTCCATATATTTAAAAACTTATCTTTATATATATTCGCACGACAACTACTTTTATTCTGATAACTAAACCGGACTAATAAATTAGGATATGAATATTTTATCCAATCTCCACTTTCGTTTTTCTTTACGATAGCTCCAAAAATGTGATAGTTATTGTCAATAAGTATACCAGGAAATTTAATTACAAAAATGTCCTGTTGATCCTTCTGGAATAATTCTTCTCCATTAAAAACAATCTGATATTGTCTAAAAATATTATCAATAACAGTACTTGTTTTTCGCAGAGTCTTATATAATGGCGTCCAGTCTCCAGAAGAAACAAGGCTCCAATTACTACACCAATTTTGATCAGTTATATTCAGGAAATTATCAAGTCAAGTGTTAATTCCGTTACGGTAAACAATATCGCCAATATCACTAATAAAAAATGATGTGTTCACGTTAAATCGTTCATTCCACTCTTCTAGATGTGCTTCAATTTTTCAATTATTTTGGGATCATCTATGTCATATTCGTGTTGAATTGTTTCTGATAAAATTCTTGTAGCATAAGGTTCAAATTTTTTCGACAAAGCTCCATCTACGGTTAAATTTCTTGGCAATAAATGTCCATAGTCATCTCCAAATATTTTGCAAAGATTTTTGTATGGTTCATTGGTTTGAAGCGCTGTGTTAACATTATTTGAATATTTCTGTAAGGAATTGATATCCGTAAGATTAAAGGATAGTTTTGCCATATTGACAATTATTTGACAGTAAATAGCTCGAGACGGTTGATTTTTAGCAGATTTGAAATCCTCTAAAGGACGGCTTATTGAACTATATTCAGCGAAAGGGATATTATCAAGATCTAAATTATCCTCATCTTTTAGTATTATGCCATTCTCTAATAAATATGCTTCTTGACGGTTTCGTGGTTGTGCTAATAAAAGAGTGACTTTTTTGATTTCAGTAGTGGTAGGTACCCTTAAAAACTTAAAAGCCGCCTTTTTTCCATGTCCAGGTTTTGATTCGTGTAGAATTACACCATATTGGAGCGAATTATTGTGAAACCAATCCCATAAAAACAATTCGAGTTTAGGTTTTAATGCTATCCATTTTACAAATTCTTTTCTTTTATATTTTTCTGGAACATTAGGAACTAATTCACCTTCGGGTGTCCCAAAGGGTTTAGAACCGGTTAAATCAAATAGCCTTTGTTGCAAATTATCTGGTAGTAATTTGTAAGATGGGATTATCTTTCCGTAAGATATAACTTTGATAGATTCAAGATCATATATTCTCGTTAACCAGTCGCATAAGTCGCCAAGGGTATCCAATTCGCCGTCAGTTTCAAGTGGAGGTATTTTATCAAGTGGTACGTCGTCAAAAATTTCAGAAACTTTTCCTTTTCAACAATCAATCCCCCATTTTATATAGTTCCTCAAAAATGTCTTGCTTTCATCAGATACGTTTAACCAATCTCTAATTGTGATAATACCTCCAAGTGTGAACTTCGTTACAATGTAATTACCATAATAATTAAAGTAATTCGCTAGAGCCTTTTTTCTTTCAATTTTGTTTGAAATTTTAAGCGCACTCTCAATATCTTTAATAAAACTATCAGAGACATCAGCTGTATATTCTGCTATTATAACTGGAAAATGGATTTGTAGTTCTTTATAATCCATCCTCCCCTCACTATTACTTTCAAATAAACTTGTGCCTCTTAAATTATCCCAAATTATATCCGTGGAATTTGGAATGTAGACAACAGGAGAATCCGAGTTCAATTTACGAAGTATTGATTTACCATTATCACGCAAAACAATTCCTTTCGCACGATAAAAATCAAATCCTTGAATATTTATACCTCGGTTTAAAGTAAAATAATTAACAAAATCTGCCTCTAACTTCCGACGCCTGAATAATGTTTCATAATCCCATTCCAGTGATTCCAGTGACAATTCTAGGTCGGCTGTTTTAGGTTTAAGTTTAATCATCCGAAAATCGGCAGTATTGTAAACCTTTTCTTCATAATAAACGTCTGAAAGTGATACATTCCTCAATTTATCGAGAACTTCTTCGCAATTGGGTCGAATAGCTAGTCAAAATATCAAATATTATTTTATTTAATTTATTATAGTTATCAATAAATGAAGTACCAAATTATATATTAATTTGAATTTTACCAGGATCATTAGCCCAACATTTACGGTAAATTTCTATAAATTTACGTGGTGTTCCATTTACGGGCGGCTCACGAGCACCTTTAATAATATCAATCGCTAATTTAATTGAATTATTTTGATAGAAAGGCTCAATACCATCACTCGAAATTTCCCACATTAGAATGCCTAAGGAATAAATATTTAACTTTGTTGGTTTATTTTCATCATTAGGCAATAAAATTTCAGGAGGTGAATAAGAAAAATTGTTGTTTCTGTTTTGAGATAACCATACGTTAGTTAATTTAGGAATCCCTTCATATACAACTATATTTTTTGGGTGCTAAGGATTTAAATAAGTTAATCTTGGCCGAAAATTATGTGCATAATGAAGTTTTAAATTTTTACCAGCTCTGAGTGTATAATATTTTGATCATGAAGATACTTCAGGCCTTCAACAACCTGCCAAGTCAGCGTTAATTTATCGCTCCAGCTTAGAAAAGTACCATTAGAACGCAGCTGACCAAGATAAGATCGTAAATCCGTTGTATAATAACCACGGACAAAATAATAATTATTGTCATCTAATATAAGAATTAAAATTAATTAAGAGCCGAAATAAAATTAATTTGGAATATATGTTTTATGTGGACTGGAAGAAGAAATTTTGATATTTAGATTAAAACATTAGAAGTGCTGGTCATATAAAATCCCAATATCAGTATAGACGCCCGTTTTATGTAATTTCATCTTACGGGCTTGATAATAATAATACTATTAATACTTAGTCTGTTCTTTTGAGTTTGGTTTTAATAATAAATATACTACACCCACATAAAACATCGATTTATCTCTGCAATGATTTAAATGTACAAACCGAAAGTAAGGCCAAAAACTTCTAGCATATTATTATGTTTAAATGGTTTGAGCTAAAATTAAAAACGAGCTTAGTTTTTAATAATGCCTTTCAACGCGAAGTGTGACGTACTTACCTCGTTTAATAACCTCGTAACGATATTATTATCACATCTATAATCTTCCAATAAGCATAAATTTACTAGCACATTGTTCCATAATCTTTTCTTTTTATCGTTAGGTACGTCAGTTTTATTTGTTGGTTGTCTGAAATCGCTATATCTTATCAAGTGAATTACTTCTTCATCGACTAATCGTACAGCATAATTATACAACGAAAGCAATCTGTCTTCTTGAATTTCATTTAATCTATTATGTACGTCTTGTTTTGTGTCCTCTTGATTTTCATTTAATCTATTACGTACGTCTTGTTTTCTGTCCTCTTGATTTTCATTTAATCTATTACATATTTCAATGATGTTAGGATGTAGATTTTGATTACTATTAAGATAACTTTCATTTAGGGTATACTGATTATTAGATTTTGAAAGAACTATGGTTTTGAACGATTGAAATTCGTACATTAGCTGTGTAATTTTTTTATCATCAATAATATTTATAATGAATTCTGGAGTCATTTCTTTTGATAATCTTTTAAGTTCAAGCAAAATATCGTTCAATGCTGGCCGCTGATCCGGTTCAGACGACCAACATTTCTCAAATAGATTGACGTAATCAGGGGTGTACCAATAATTGATTTTTCTTTTCATTATTTGCAATATTAATAATTTTAGCTACATCATTTAATTCATTAAATGGAGGAATTCCACTCGTCAGCTCCCAAAATAATACTCCCAAACTATATATGTCAGATTTTTTATCACGTTTAACTTCTTTTCCAGACTGAATATAATATTGTGGTTCAATATATGCTGATATACCTTTCACACCAGAGCTTGAAATCGTATTGGAACCATCTAATTGTTTTGATAAGCCAAAATCTGTAATAATTGCCCTGTCATCGTATATCAAAACATTAAAAGAATGCTAGAGGTTTTATGTAAATTTAAACTTATTAAAGTTAACAGAATTTGAAGTCAAAATATAAAAAAAAATAAACTAACCAGATCTCTATGAATTATATTTTTTCCATATAAGTGATCTAATCCAAGTGCAATTTCTATTGCAATCCGGATGAGTTCAGGCCATAATATTTTATAGATGCCTTCCTTTTGTTTTCTTCTTAAATGTTCTCGCAAGTTACCACAATTAGCATATTGTAGTATTAGCATAAAGTTTTCTGTTTTCTCATCTAGTGTTTGTTCAAAAATGAAATTAGTAAATATTTCATTCAAGTATACAGTATATATATTGTTATAAATTTATACTTCTTGAAACGCCATAGAATTTTATGATGTTGGGATGATCAACTGTATAATGAAGTTCAAGCTACACATAGTATATGTTGATGAATAAATAGGAATATTAAGAAATCAGATGAATAATATGAATAAAGGTGTTCTCAAGCACCTCAATCAAGTGATCGGAACCAAAATTTTAATTAGTCGGAAATTAAATAAATGAATCAAATGAATTACCAAAATCAGGGAGACCACTTTTTTCTTCAAAAATTTATCATTGATATAGGTTGCTCAAACACTACTTTTACATTTTTTTGCATATCGAACATAATAAACAATGTCGGGGATGATGCTGAAATTTTGACTTATTCTATTATGAAATTTTAA